AGTAGCCAGTTTGTAAACTTGTCCATTAGTTTTGTTTTCAATGCTGGGAATAGAGTCCAAGGCCTTTCCTGTATTAGACAACATGTCCTATCACTGAACCACACCTACACCCACACCTACAAGGTTCTTTTAAAACCAAATTTTCTTCTTGTCAAATAAGACAAAGATAAACTTTAACTGAGTCCATTATCTCTAGCTGTGAAGGAGCAATGTCTATGTGAAGTTGTCCTGGGTATTTAACAATGATGCCAGAAGTCCTCACACTAGGGATTTGGGTTGTTTAAAAGGTATTCGGTCCCTTTGGAATGAATAGTAAGGTCTCAATGCTGATAACATGGTACATCCACACCAGGAGGACTCCCAATGAAACTCACCTCTTCACCTTTTCTATCAAGTACTCTTGAGTTATGTCCACCCACACAGGGGAAACTAGTCCAGCCAGCTTCACACAAACAGGCTAGTACATGGAATGCATATCAAGGAGGAAGAAGGAAGGGAGAGAAGAGAGGAGGAGGAGGTGGAGTTGGGGGAGGGGGAAGACTGTGCTCTGCTGCTTCCTCAGATGTCAGTAAAACCACAGTAAAGAGATTGGAGCATGGCAAACACACACGTAGTCAAAAGAGGCGAGAGAGGAGGTAACACCAGTGGAATTTTGGAACTAAACATTGCCAAGAAAGCTAAATCTTAAGCAGAACAGAGAAAAGGTTGAGAAGCAACTTAAGTTCTATATTGAACCTTCATAAGTCTATTACCCAAGTTAAAAGACACTCAGAAACATCAGGTCTCAAAAGAATTTACAGCTCTCCATCATATCTCAGGAAACAAGTGGAAGTTATAGTCCACTTAAATGAGAAGTTAAAAAAAAATTACAACAGAGGCTGTCTGTCCATTGGGGAGGACAGACAGCCTCCTACCATACCAGCTGGGCTTTGGGTACAGTGGAATAAAGTCAAGACTGACCAGAACTGATCTGGAGAATTTTCTCCAAGAACATAATGTTTGTAGACTATCTAATACAACTGAATGTGTGTAGAAATGGTTTAGATAATTAGTGGATAGCTCAGTTTTGAGATAATGATACTTTTTTACTAATCAAAAAAAGTTTTAGATCAAGACAACCAATAACTCCAGGGTGGGGGAAACAGTTTAGAAAGGAGTAAAGTTATGATAATGTTGCACCTTGCTATCAGTCAGGAGTAGGATTTTTCCAGAGCAACTCTATTTAACAAAAAATTTTATTGGGAGAACAGGACTAAGAAGAACAGTGTAAGAGTGTGTGTGTGTGTGTGTGTGTGTGTGTGTGTGTGTGTGTGTGTGTGTGTGTGGAGATAGAAGCTGTGTGTATGAGGAGTGTGTTGTAGGTGGAAGGTGGGAGAGATATAATCCTTATTTCCTTTTTTAAAGAAGTCTTTTAAAAAAAAACAAACTTAAGTATGAAAATCAAAAAGAACATACACTTACTATTTGGATATACAAGGCAAGTACCAAAAGAATGAGTAAGTTAAATGAAAATGTTCACCTTTGGTGAAGAAGAAATGGGAAGAGGAATATGGATTGCTATTCTCATGAAAACTATTTAGAATTATATGAATCTTCATATCACATAACTATATAATAACTATATCAAAAATAGATATACATAACAATATTAAACACTGAATATTATATAAATGACTTTTCCTAAGTTTAGTATGACATTCACTGCTATATAATCTCAATAATTAGCATTTCTTCAATAAAATAGAAGCTTCTTATAGTTACACTTCTTTCATTTCATTTTAGATTTTATGTATGTAAAAGTCTTGTCTGCATATATGAATGTATACCACATGCATGCCTGGGGCTCACAGAGGTCAGAAGAGAATATTGGTCCTCTTGGAACTAGAGTAACAAATGTTTGTGAGCTACCGTGTGGGTACTGAGAACTGAACCTGGGTCTTCTGTAAGAACAAAAAAATGCTCTTAACCACTGAGTCACCTCTCCAGGCCCTTTCCTTAATTTTTAAAAAGCTATGTGAATGCTAACAATTGCTAAAGTGGTTAAGTAAGATTTGAAACATATCCCTTCTGTTTCCTATCCTCCCAAAACATGGAAGAAAGTTTGCTTTACAGGTGTAATTTGAGACAAATTTGTTCAAGAAATCCAGCAATCAACTGTGTAGAAATATGGAAGATGCAAAGGTTTCTCAAAATAGCTAGGTGACATCCTTTGCCCTGGGTCACGTAAGGTTCTCCAGTCCTTAATGGCAGTACTGGGTCTGTATTTGTCGTTCCATGTTTCTTCTTCATTTATGATCTAGTTGGAGAGCCTCAGAAACTCAGAATTGGGCTTTTGACATTCATTGAGAGCTTAGGGGGAGATGGCCAGGCTGTGGATCATTTTGTCTCCAGTCATCTCTGGCTAGAGGGATGCCCTTCATTAGGCTTCTAACACTCATAGAAGTCTTACTGTGATCATTTGCTGCCACCCTTCACACTGGATTTGTGGACTGAGCACTTTAAACATAACATTGTCCTCTTCCTGTAACCAAAAGTGACATTTCTCTTTGCCCAGTATCTACCTCAGATGAACTATCCACATACTGGACATTCTTGTAACTGCTTAGTCATCCCCAATCTAAGGAGCCATAGGGGCTTGATTTGGACAGGGACAGGAACCCTAGAAGGTCCAAGATACAGGAGCTATAAAATGGCACCTCTGATTTTGATCCCACTAAGGAGAAATCAAGACCTAGCTCATATAGAAAAGTAGTTACAAGTCTTTTGTCAGTCCATGCTTAGGATATGATCTATGAAGAGTAAATTAAAGCCAGAGGGAAATTGTTTAGAAAAGAACATGTACTAGAGTTGGGATATGAAATATTCAAGGCTTGGCTTCCAGGGTGGTACCACTGGGAAACAGTAGAGCCTTTAAGAGGGAGGACCTAGTGGGAAGACATGGGTGGTGGTGGATGGGGAGATAAGTCCTAGAGGGGAGTGTGGGACTCTCAATCCCTCCTCACTCTCTTTTATTTATTGACCACAGGGTGAATGATTTGGTTTGCTATACACTTCTACTATGATGTGCTGCTACTCTACCAGGGGCCTAAAAGCACTGAGTCAGCTCAGTCAATGGGCTGCCATCGAAAACTGACCCTCAGGTAACCTTTTCCTCCTCTAGGTTGATTATCTCAAGTATTAGCTATAGTGACATCTGGCTACACACCAAGAAATCCATTCTTTGACTTTCTTTCTTGTTTTCTTTTCAATCTGTTGCCCAAAAGCTCAAGACACTTGAACCTACTACAAAGCTTATCATTTATTGGGTATCTTGAGGAATCTATTCTGTAACGATGGAGTTAATAGTGGAAGCCTACCAAGTCTAGTGTTTTAAGCAGGATACAAATCTCACACCACATGACGAGAAAATTTTCAAATGTTTTACTGGTAATAAAGAACATGAGATGGGGAGAGCCTCATATTCCAATAACATAGGAAACACAAAACTCAAGCATATTGAAACTCTACTGAAAGTACATTGTAGGTAAGTAAGATGTTGAACTTCTCTTTTAAGTTAAATCTTGATAGGCAGAGCATATTTAAATAAATTTATGTGTTTGGCAGTGCATATCATTAGAATTCAAATTTTGTTTGGATTTACTGTTTTCAATAATCCTATAGTACAGAAGCTCCATGTGTATATAGAGCATTTGACCTTTTATGATAAGCCTAGCAGGTGGTTATCTAGCCATGGGCTTCTTACTTCAGAAGCCTACTCTGGGATATAATTATCTCAGTATTTGGAAGGTCTGTTTTTATATACCAAGGTGAACATTCCTGGTCTCTTATCTTTAAAACATTGATTTGAGGGCGTCTCCCAAGAAGCAGGCTATCCCAGGGTGCCACCTCTTTCTCTTGGCTTACTTATTGCTTTTTCAGCTGCACATACTACCAAATGCCTCATATGGGCAGGAGCATCAGAATACTTGTAAAAAAAAAACCTTGTCCACACATTGGATATATTTAGGAAATAATGCCCTGCATATGAAAGTCCAATAGTAGTATTGAGACTCTTTGTTGACACAATTTCATTTGGGTTAGATAGATGTAATAAAAGAAGAAGGAGGAGGAGGAAGAGGAGAAGGAGGAGGAGGAGTGGGTAAGAAGAGAGAAGGGGATCTGGGCACACAAAGCCATATCCATTTCTCCAAGAAATGGTCTTAAGAGTTTTTAGAAGGGAGGCCGGCATTTAGCACAAAGCCAGATCTTGCTTAACTCTGGTGTGCTCTCCTTTCCACCCATGAGAAAACTGCTCTAATGCAGAGAATACAAAAGCCATGCCCAGAGTTGTTAGTTTTTCACCAAAGATGAGGAAGCACAGAGAAAAGTTGGAATGATTCAAAGGAACCACAAACCAAAGTAGCCCCCTGATTGTCAGCTCTGTCTACACTTAGCCAACAACTCTAGCTCAATAAATTACCAAGTAAATACCTCCACATGGTATGATTACCTCCCAGCAGGAAAGACCCATTTTGTGGTAGCTAATGCACTCAAATTGTGGACATCTTAGAATGTGATCTAAAAGGTGGTCCTTGCAAAGGCCTCTCTCTGTGCATACAGCAGAGATGCTGGCAGCAAGGGCAGAACCCAAGGGCACCTGGGACTTGCTTTCTGTTGTCTGTCTTCCTGAGTCTTAAAGAACAGGCTCCATTAAGTAAAACTCAAAGACTGTTGCCTACCAAAACAAAACCAAGCCACTGCTCAGCTTTGAGCATGAGAAATCTCTACCATTCTAAGATTCTGCCTTCCGGAAACACAGGAGTCTCTGGAAAGTTTCACAAACTTCTCGGAAGTTGAGAAGAGTAGGAAGATGGTGGGCAGGAGGGCTGATGCCAACTGTAGAACAAGAGACACTAGAGACCCTCATGTCCCGAGCCCCATCCATACTCCAGATGAGAGAGATGGAAGCTAACTTCCAGGCACAGTGTTCTTTCCCAGAAAAGAAAAGCCAGTGATCCTTTGTTCCCTTCAGCAGCACATATTGAAAAATTGAAACCATACAGAAAAGATTAGCGTGGCCCACATGCAGGGATGACACCCAAATTCATGAAGCATGCCATATTTTAGAGAGAGAAAGAGAATCTAAAGTTTGGTGGGTAGGGAGGTGGGAGAAAATCTGGGAAGAATGGGGAAGGAAAATGAATATGATTAAAAATATGGCATGAAATTCTGAAAGGATAAATATTCTTTTTTTCAATATCAGTGATTTAAGCTTTCAGAACACTTAAGAACCCAGAGTTGTATCTGAACATGAAGATCATAGACTTTTATTGCCTAGGTCAGGAATGCTTGATGTATTTTGAAAGGGTTAGTTCTTATCTCATTATGATCACTATTAATAACTATCATTAGGATCGGCTTGCTCTGATCCGAACAGTCCTTATTTAATGTCTGCCTCTGCCTCATACATGCCAAGCACACACCCCACATTATATACTTGAAATGCTAAGTAATGTAGCTGAGGCCAGGCAGTGCTAAGTAGGAGAGCTATATCACTGCTAAGTAGGAGAGCTATATCTTTTTTAACAACCGTTCCAAGAACTGAGGAGTGTGGTTCAATGGTAAAGCACTTGCCTAACTCTTAAAGGCCCTGGGTTCCTTCTCTAGTGCTGGGTGGGGGTGAACATTCAAGCAGCAAATCCCACTGCTTTTGAGTATTTTTGAGTATTGAGTGTACACTTTGCTTTTGAGTATTTTTGAGTATTGAGTGCATACTTTGCTTTTGAGTATTTTTGAGTATTGGGTGTACACTTTGCTTTTGAGTATTTTTGAGTATTGAGTGCATACTTTGCTTTTGAGTATTGAGTGTACACTTTGCTTTTGAGTATTTTTGAGTATTGAGTGTACACTTTGCTTTTGAGTATTTTTGAGTATTGAGTGTACACTTTGCTTTTGAGTACCTTTCATGGTGGTCATAGCAGTGCAGTGAAACCTGGCTATTTTCTGCAGAATGGGAAGGGGTTGGTTCCCCTCCAGAGGGTCAGCTTTACATCTTTTATTTAACTCATCCTTTATTTATTATCCAAAGAAAGAGCTTGGAAACAAAATCAAACACTTTGGTAAGGCCTGGTCTTTGAAAGTTGAAAGTTCCTTAATCAGTTCCCTGTGGCCTAAGCCCATCTGCCCTCCCATGTTTTAGGCCAGCTGCACTGGAGCTCTGCATTCTTTCCTATCTGAGACCTCTCTCTTCCTGCTTGCTCCGCTGGCTTCCTGGGCATGAGTACTCCAGGGGAGGCACAGGCTAAGAACCAGTTGGGGGCCCACAGAATGGACTTCTGTTCTGGTTGCCATAGCAACCAAAAAAATTCCTTGGCACCTGGTAGGCCTCTTTCTCCCTGACATGGAAGTCACGCAGCTTCACATGTGCTTTCCCTTGTTTTTCAAAGCAGTTGTTAGCTCTGTTCCCAACGAGTCGACTCCCTGAGACCTCAGTCTTACTTGGACTGAATCCACTCAGGTCTGACACCAAGAAGCTGAAAGAAAGAAGCTGAAGAACAGTAATTGTACCCATCAGTATTGGCATTTGGGTACCTTTGCCTTGTATTTGCAACCCCAGTGCCCAGGATAATAATGAAATCTCTGGTGGCTGCTATTCCTACTTGCAATGCAGTGGTCCCCAGGATGTCCCCACTTCCTGTTAATGTCTACCATCTGTGCTCACATAGAAATCAGTTCTTCAAATGTGCTTATGTAAGCCTTACCCTCATTTTGGAGGAGGTAATGGTCACATTTTATTTCTTTCTAGGAGGCTCCTTCTCAGGGGCTTTCTTTAGCATTTACATACCGAGATCAGTGGGAGGGGAGTTTTTGACAAACACAGAGGACACTGTTAGGATATATCTCAGAAGCAATGACTTCTGTGATTTTTTTCATTTATATAACCACAAAAGGTCATTTAGGCTGTTTTTCCCCCCAGCCGAACCACTGAGCTCAAGAGATCGTCACACCTCCACCCAGAAAGCAGCTGTCTTACCCAAACCCCACTATCCATCCTGCTGACTAGTATCAGCAGCTCAGCAGCAATCAATGAGCAGCGGGCTAAGGCCGAGCACCGGGGATATGTCCAGAGAGATGGCCACCCGTAGTGCACAGTTCACACACTGAACACAGCTGCTCTCCAGAGAGTCAAATTTGCTATGAGCCAGCTTGTGCTCCCTTGGCTAAGCCCAAAGAAGAGAATGTCAGCTGGCCAAGATGTGAGTCTACAGTGCACATAGAAGGATGTCCTTGTCAATCTACAGCCCCGGAGGGAGCGTCTTTTAAAATTTTGCAAAAATGCACTTGGCTGGCTTGGAGTGGCTCTCTATTCCAAGAGAATTTCCTGGTATTGGGGAAGAAAGAGGATGCATAAAGCACAAGGCAGGCACTAAGTCTCAAAACACCTTGTTTTTCTTCACTGCCACATTGATTAAGGGCCTCTAAATAGCCATGGGAGCAGAACAGGTCCCTGTGTGGTTAAAGGCTCAGGCATTCACTTAAGAGGGTAATTCTCAGCAACATTCTCTTACTCAGCACTTTTAATCAAAATAATAAGTTCAGTGTCTGAAGAGGAATAGGGAATGAATAGGGCAGTGTAGGAATCCCCTGTTGCTAATGAAGAATTTAAAAATCCAGGTTAGCAATGGTTTATGCCGTTTCATATGGAGAAGACCCTGGATCCCCATACCTTATTTTCACTTATTTGCAAGAAGAAAAAGAAGAATTTATGTACCTTAAGAAAATATGAAGTGAAAAATTATCCATCAGCACAGCAAAGACCTATTTCCAGGAAATGGATTTTAAAAGGAAAGTCTTGATGTCCGAAGGTCGAGACCAGGAGGTCTCCTGACTTTGAACGTGAAGGATGAAAGGACCCTATGTCCAGGTGCAGGTCAGGCTGGCCTCATTTCAGCTGCTACAGGAGGCTGCTTAAAGCCCTGGTTGTGGTCCAAGAATATCCTGGCAGTTAGTATCCTGCATTAAAATTTATAAACCACAAAAGACCTTTTCTCACAGAGAAGTTAATTCAGGCTGCAGAACCTTTGAAAACCTCTTTAAAAGAAGGTAGTCATCAGGAGCAGTTGTATGGAAAACTAGGAGTAAGTGATGCTTTTTACTCCCCCCAAAATGTACTAAAAATATAGCAATAGGAATTTCAGAAGGAAGGGAAATGGCACCACGTATAATTTTATTTCAAAGAGGTCCCAGGAATGAGCTATGGGATTGCCAGAATTAACTTTTAACGGTAACCAAAATATGGGAAGAGTATTACAGGCTACAGGCCATGCCTGAAGAAAGGAAACTGTGTCACCTTGGTGTCCCACTCTCTGGAGACTCCAGGAAGGCAGGTCTGAAAAGGCCCACAACCTCTGGCCCTAGCTGTGACTGTCCCCAACCACTCTACTCTCTGCCCCATGTTCTGTAACTCCCCACTGAGTCTTCATGGCGGACCTCCTCTAGGCCACACTGGGTTAACCTGGCCATCCTTCAGAGCCAGTTGAAACTACACTTGCTCAGGAAGCCATTGTAATCCTATAGGTTAGGTTAAATCCCCCTGCTGTCGACTTCTCCTGCTCCTGCTCTTACCTTAACCCTTGGCAACCTTCTCTATCACCTGACCAGGGTGGGGTGTGGTTGGTTAGGCTGGTTCTTTTATTTACCACTGTATATCCAACCTCTTCATTTATCCATCCATCATTCCTAGTAAAATCTCATGAAGTAAATCTATGTCCTTCCCTATGACTCCAGCTTTCTATGCTGTGTTAGCTCTCCATTTCTATATATACCCAAGACAATCAACTTTTATAAAGAGAAGTGTTTGAGGTGAGATCACAGTTTTTAAGGTTCCAAGACCAGTCCTGTTCTTTTGGGGTCTGTGGTGACATAGTATACCATGGTAAAAATGTGTGGCAGAGCAAAATGGTCATAGAAGTGAAAACTAGAAATAGGAAGAAACTAGGGTTACTCTACACCTTTGAAGTATATGTTTCTAATGTCCTGAATGCTATCTAATGGGCCCCATTCCTAAAGACCCACCACTTCCCATAGTGCCAAGCCCACCTCCTGAAGGTCCACTACCTCCCATAAGGCTCTCTTTCTCTCTCCCCTTTCCCCCTCTCCTACTCTCCCTATCTCCCCTCTTTCCCTCCTCCCTCCTCTCTCTTGCACATACCACCACCACCACCACCACTCAACATCCAGCAGGAGTAACTCAGTGATAAGCCTTTAACATATGTTTTTTGGAGAGGTGAGGGGTTGAAACAGGATCCCTCTACATAACTTCACTGCCTTGAAACTCACTATATAGGACGGACTGTTCTCAAAATCACAGCAATCCACTTGCCTCTGCCTCCTGAGTGTGGGATTAAAGGCCTGTACCACCATGCCCAGCCAACACATCAGTGTGTGTGTGTGTGTGTGTGTGTGTGTGTGTGTGTGTGTGTGTGTGTGTGAGAGAGAGAGAGAGAGAGAGAGAGAGAGAGAGAGAGAGAGAGAGAGAGAGAGAGAGAGTGAGAGAGAGTGTTGGGGGGCATTCTAAATAAAGCATATGCTCCATTTATCTTCTATTCCAAAGGACCTGTAGAGTTGGTTCTGAAGTTGGCATTTTGAGACTATTGGTAAAGAAAATGAAGTAGCAGCAAGAAGAAGGTAATCAATAAAAAACAGACAGTCACAATGTTGTCCCACAGTATAGTGGTTAGGTCAACAGGCATTCAGGCTGACAGGATGTGAGGACATTTCACTTTACAAATACATAAGTGAACACAAAAAATTCTCCTAGCAGTCTCAGAAGTCAGCCTGGCCCAGCCAGTTTGACTGCATCTGTGGGACATACCTAGAGGGTTACAGGACACACCCAGAAGGGTACAGGAGGAACACTTGGAGGGTTACAGGACACACCCAGAGGGGTACAGGAGAAATACTTGGAGGGTTACAGGACACACCCAGAGGGGTACAGGAGAAACACTTGGAGGGTTACAGGACACACCCAGAAGGGTACAGAAGGAACACTTGGAGGGTTACAGGACACACCCAGAGGGGTACAGGAGGAACACTTGGAGGGTTACAGGACACACCCAGAGGGGTA